AGAGTAAAGAAGTGTTTTTGCATCCACAGTGAGCAGTATCGCATGTGCAGAGTTAAATTTCCTCACGTAACTGAGGTGATCCCCTTAGTATCGGTTGTTGGACACCACACATACGCACTGTCAGTTCACAGCAAATTTGAACTGTCTGCATCATACGTAGTATGCATGAAACATCGCACAAAACACCACCGTCCATGAGCGGGCTTGAAGTGCAAACCAAGAATTCCTGAACACTCTTTGATTAGTTGTCGTAATGCTTCTATGATGAAGTCTGAGAGTTCTTGCGAAGCGCTTAACGCATTAGTTTACTTTTATTTCTACCTCTGCAACAGTTATTTTCTGTACTGTCACCTTTACTTCCTACCTTTCCTCCTTCATCTTCCTTCGGGAAATCACATATTCGCTTAAACATGGCGGAATGGGGCACTGTACTGATGATTCCTACTCCATTCCTCACCGACTCTGCCGTCTGTGTTTACAGTTTAGGGATGAAACACGGACAGAACAACAGCTAATGCACATACAGGCTCGCTTATCTGGGTGTCTAAATTGGCACTTCCTGCTTTCCCACAACTGTCAATATTCGACAGTTTCTCTCTCCTATGGCGGGCCTATAGTACCAAACAAACTTTCATAGTTTGCGTCTTAAAGATTTCCAAAATATTTAACAGTTTTTTTAAGTGGTGAAGTGTTTTTCAGGTAGGAATTCCGCCATGGGTGGTGGACATCCGACATCAAGCTACGCATGGGCATTTGCCATCATTAGAAAGCCTACGCGATACTGTCCAGTATTGTCGAAGTTGGCTTTGGGTGAGATTTTCTAAAAGTCAGACCAAAAAATCAGAAGGATTCTCATACACACATGGATTTCAATTTAGTTTTCATCCACCACTGAAGTGATTTGAGGAAAATTGGTCAAAGCAGTACTGGAAGAAAGCTGCGCTCAGTTACATATGTGTTTCAGGAGCACCACTGGTCAAAGCCGGTTGCTAAAGCAATTCGCATGAATTTGAACTTCTCTGATGTCGACTATGAAACAGAATTACGGCAGGAAGCTGGCCGCTTACTTGATCGCTTCATGTTGCAAAACGTGAGAAAAGTAATTCCATTTTTTCACTGTTTCTTTTTACTGGTTTGTTAGCATTCAGTACGTGTAGAAAATCGCTTAATTTTGCTCCAGTAAATGAAAAATACATTTTTCTTAATGGAAAAAGCAGAAAAATTGAACAGCAAAGGGGTAATTTCTCTCTGGATGACAATTTTGTCAGAATGCACGAAATCTGTTACAACAGTACCAGGGCAGTGGCGAGATACTAAAGAATTGCTCACAGTATTCATACAATAAATCAGGTTGAGCAGATGATTAGCGTTACGGAACGGGGCTTCAAATTTGAGGCTTTTCATACTGTTTCGGGGTGCCTCCTTCCATAGGTCCTGCTCGGTGTCGATTAGATTCACTATTATCCACGGCAAATCCAAACAGCAAAATCTTGAGTTTCTGAAAGCGTCTGTGCCATGTCACTCTCGCTAACGGTTTGAATCAGGTGACAGTGGCTTGTTGTTTTAAATTTGTTCCCCGTTTGAATCTGCCAGATGCATCGACTGAAGATGCAAAAAATTTGCTGCATTTTCTCTTCTCTCTCTCATTTCTTCTTTCACATATTCGTCTTGCAAAATAGTTACATGTCCTTTCAATACATGGCGGGTAGGAGGCTGTACTGACGATTCCCACTCCCACCCGCATGCATAGTCCGGTCTGTGTTTACAGCTAAGGGATGAAACGTACAGAGACTGCATCGTAAAGTATCACCTTACTACTACATCTAAACGATGAAAAACAGTTGCACCGTAAAATATCACCTTACACATGACGCCTTACACATGGCGTAAAATATCACCTTACCTAAAATATCACAATCCTCTTCTAATCTATTATTTTATCAACTCAGTGCAACAGTTTCTACCATATTGCAGGACACAAGCGATCAAACTATAAATGACAAACTGCGGCTTACGTTAGCGAATATCGAGTCGTTTGTTATGTCGCAGCCAAGGTTGCGGTGGTTTTTGTTTGTCCACTCATTTTTATTATTGAATTTTCTGAAGCCTATGAACACACACACACTTAGTGTTAGGTCAGTCACGGAAGTAGTTTGTTTTTCTATTTTAATTCCATTTTTAACTGTAACTGAAAGACTAAGAATTCTATTTGCAGAGAGTTCTTGGATGCACTCTTACAGGATGGGCACTTGATTATGGACGAAATGCAGGTTGAATCAGTAGGTTTCCAGTTATTTAAAGGTGAGAATTTTTGATGATTCGAGTTAAGCTGCTAGT